CATATTCTTTGTACCCCGGGGTAAAAATAATATAGGGTCTCTATGGACTCCAATGATCTTCCTGATCCTTTTGGGACCCCATAATATTTGTACCCATACTACGTGACATTTAGGGGGGATGGTACAAATTTTATGGGGTCTCAAAAGGATCAGGAACATCATTGGAGTCCATAGAGACCCCATATTATTTGTACCCCGGGGTAAAAATAATATAGGGTCTCTATGGACTCTAATGATCTTCCTGATCCTTTTGGGACCCCATAATATTTGTACCCCCCCTGTCCTAAATGTCACGTAGTATGGGTACGATCCCTTGCAGGAAGCTCTCTCAAAAGTGCTCTCAATTGCTTAAGATTTACTTAAGTGGACTACTTAGGCCCCATCACAGTTGAGCCCCTAGTTTGAAAAATATCGGTTCTGGTTGGCTGAGCGATTAGCGAAGCCCAAAACTCCACTGACCGGAAAAGTTTTATTCTGTTTGTTTGTTTGTCTGTCTGTTTGTCTGTTTGTCTGTCTGTCCGCACGATAACTCGAGAAAGAATTGAGAGAGCGATCTGGAAATTTCAGGGTCGTTTTGTATCATAAAAAGACAGATCGAGTTCGAAGATGAGCATTCTAGCTCAAAAATTGACTTTTGAAAAAATCAAAAACCGCAGGTTGAAAAATATTTCTTTTTTTCAAATATTTTTTTATGGGCTCCTTAGGGGTAACTCGTACAAGCAGATCCCTACGGACGAAAATTTCGTCTGTTTTGCTCTATCTTTTACCGTTTCCGCGCTATTGGGCATTTCTTGGCGAAAATAACGTGAAAAAGACAAAATGGTCTGTTATATCGTAAAAAAGGCTTCATGTCACAGAATTATAAAGGGAGTAATACTTTAACCACACATTGCGGGTCGCACCACACCCTCGCTTGGGCTTAAGGGTCCCTAGATTATCTAGTATCACTAAAACGTTGATTTTTACATAACAATGTGTCGAAATTCGAACTTTTAATGACAACCGTTACCAAACAGCAGAAGTTTCATGTTCCTAATTTTAGAGTAATAAGACATCGACATGGTTCGAGTTTGTCAAATTTAGGGCCTGGAAGGCCCTGTCCCCCTACACCCTGTCCTTAACTCGTCTCGGGTGTCAGCGCCGCAGGCCTAGCTATATGTGCGCCAGGCGCGTCGCAGCGTAACAGTGTTTCGTGAGATATCGCGAAGCCTGTTACGCGAGACGTGGTCTGGCGCACATATAGCTAGTGATATTTTAGAATTGAAACGATGATTCAGTTTATGAAAACTGGGTAGGTTATATGTAAATAGGTTCCTCTTTAAACAAATCAAACAATAAAAGTTCCGTAAACTTTGGGTTTGTGAAGAAACGGCAACTTTTCATACTTACGACAAGTACGATGGGTCGTTGTACTGGTCAAATTGACTGGTCAGGAACAGTTAGTTTGTGCTCAGTAGCCCACAACTCTCCCGGTGTTTCTTTCCCCTTCCGCTCCCAGAATGCGGCGAATGAACGGTGAGGATGAAGCGGTGCCGGCACTGAATGGGTCGCCGTTTCCGTCGCATTCTCGTCGTGAATTTGACCAGTAAAACGACCACGGTAAGGCCCGGATGCGATGTCGGAGGATACTTCGTCGTATTTCCGTACTATGCTGGCCGTTATCAGAATAGTAGAAAATGACGAGAATACGACCCAAACACGCCTTACAAGGGAAAGTTTTCCGGTGACCCACTCAGATTTCAAAGGCGCTTTAAAGAGTAGTTGTTTGCACCCCTAGATAAGATTTGGCACTGGTTTTAGCTGCGCCTAGGGCGTTTGGAGGTCATTTCACGCGAATTTCATCAAACATTTCCCAAATTCATCCCCTTTTTGCCATCTTAGCATGCCCATATCTCCGGAACCGTTTGAGCGACAGCGCCCAGATTTTGCAGGTAATTATCTTTCAGTTAGTACTTTCCATGAAAAATATTTGAACCACATCAATGGGGGTGGTCGCAACCTCTTCTCTGGACCCGTTTTTGCGACCCTAATCGCTTTTGTTCAAATGTTCTACAAGTGAAGAACGTGTTAAATTATGATTTCCCCCAAAATCTGGGCGTTGTAGCTCAAACGGTTCTTGAGATATGTGCATGTAAAGTTGATTATCAGGCTATAAATTTGGCGAATTTTCAATTTAAGTCTCGTAAAATGACCTTCAAACCCCCTTCGGGCAGCTAAAACCAATTCAAAACCTTATCTAGGGATGAAAACAACAACACTTTGAAGCGCCATTGAAATAGGACTGTGTCACCATAAAACCTTCCCTTGTCAGTATTTTGCGCGGCCCTTTATGATTTCATTTTCAGCTTATAGAATTTTATGGTGTAAACTTATAGCTATGTGCTTGCCTCGAAGGTACAGACAGGTGTCCGACAGTTCTTGGCTCAATGATGCCAGCGGTAGAAACGTAACGATGAGCAGGGTGAACCCAACCGCTGTGTAGCTGTCACTCTCCGACGCCAAAATCTGAATAAACAAATCGTGTTTAGTTTCCTGTCAACTCCTAATTTTTAGCCCGCCCTTCTGCTTTTAATAACACTGTGAAAAAAGTAGGTAGGTTTACAGGAAAATTTTCCTTGACGCAAGTCGTAAAATTACAATTTGAAATCGTAAAAACACATGCAGTATGTATCGACTTCAAATCCCTTGGCGAGTAAAAAATGTGCTGTCGTAAATTTACAACTTAAATTACTAGCTATACGTACGCCAGACCACGTCTCGCGTAACAGGCTTCGCGATATCTCACGAAACACTGTTACGCTGCGACGCGCCTGGCGCACATATAGCTAGGCCTGCGGCGCTGACACCCGAGACGGGGTAATAGGAGTGCATAGACATTTTTTCGAAATGAAGTCTTTCTAACGATTTAATCGACCATTTGATCATTTTCACCTCATTTTTGTCAAGAAATGCCCCCTAGCACCTAAACGGTACGAGATAGAGCCAAACGGACACAATTTACGCCCGTAGAGCTCTACTTTGACGAGTTACCCCATAGGAACCCATAAAAAAATATTTTGATAAAAATTCATTTTGCGACCTGTAGTTTTTGATTTTTTAAAAAGCAAATTTTTGAGCTAGAATGCTCATCTTCGAACTCGATCTGTCTTTTTATGATACAAAATGACTCTGAAATTCCCAGATCGCTATCTTAATCCATTCTCGAGTTATCGTGCGGACAGACAAACAAACAAACAAACCCACAAACAGAATGAAACTTTTTCGGTCAGTGGAGTAATGGGC